GCTACGGCTCTCAGAACTGCCGTGGTTAGGCCACTTGTGCCAAGTGTGGGAAAAATGACCACTCTGCAGATTCTTGCTCTAATTAAGCCCATTGTGTAAACTGTAGTGACCCACACCCCGCGTATTCTAGATCTTGCAAGACATGGAAGGACGAAAAAGACGTACTTACCTTAAAGGTCAAAGAAAGCCTCTCCTACCCGGAAGCGCGCCGTCGCTTTGCGTTTTTGCGCAAGGGTGGCTATGCACAGGTGGTGCAGCGGGGACCTGCACCACTGAAGGTTACAGTGGCAGCCCAGACGTCCTTTCTGGACTATGGGAAGCCACGGCAGTCCCCCACGCCCCAGCTGAAGATTCAGCTTCCAGGGCGTGCAATCTCGGCTGGTGGGTCTGCTGGCCCTCCCCGCCAGAGCGCAAACACTCGCGCTCCTGCGGGAAAACAGCCTCAGCCCTCTCACGTAGAGGGTACGCAGGCTGCTTCCCAAGCTCAGGATGGGCCGGCGGCTGCGGCAACCGTCCCTCCTCTGCGATCTCCTTCCAGGGAGAAGGGTCGACACTCTCGCCCACACTCCCTGGAGAGAGCATCATCGAGGGAGCGGCATGGCTCTCGTGCCGCTCCTGCAGCACCTAAGAGGCAGGAACAGGTGCACTTGGGCGATTCCCCGCCCAGCACCTCCTCCGCCCATTTGACTGTGGCTGGTCGTGGACGGGGCATGGCACCCCATCCTCCGAACCTGCCCAAACCAGCAGCAAAGGCCTCGCCTCAAGAAGTAGAGGCAATGGATGAGGACACGGAAGTCTCCATTCATGCGTCTGACCAAGACGACATGAACTGGCAGACTCCTAAGAGTAAACAGAAGAACAGAAAACCTGTCATCCTCCCAAAGTGATGATGTTGATTTAATGTTGCCATGAGCGGCAGATTTGTAAGTTTTTATATATTCCCTTCTAGTGTTACAAGGTCAACAACGTTTTAACGTTTTAATTTATTTTTTTTTTCTATTATTTTGTTCTAGAGGCATGACTAAATTTCATTTTATGCAGTGGAACTGCCGCGGTCTTTTACGTAATATTGACGATGTTAATTTTTTTATGGACACTTTACGTCCTATTGCTCTCTCTTTACAAGAGACACACCTCAATGATCATCATAAGTCAATATTGCGCCGCCATCAAGTTTTTAGAAAAGATCGCCCTACATCTAATTCATCTGGTGGAGTAGCTGTGGTTGTCCAGAATGGAGTCGCCTGCTCTCAGGTTCCTCTGGCTACGCCTCTTGAGGCTATGGCTGTACGACTTCTTTTGGACCGCCTTATTACTGTCGTTTCTATTTATATTCCACCTAACACTTCACTGCATCTTCATGATCTTCAACGGCTGGTTACACAGCTTCCTCATCCATTTTTACTGTTAGGAGATTTTAATGCTCACCACCCCCTGTGGGGTACCGCCCGTCAGGACTCGCGTGGTGGGGTAATTGAGCGATTTTTATTATCTTCTGGGCTGTGCCTTATGAATACGAGAGATCCAACCTTTTTTAGCGTTGCTCATAACTCATTTACATCTATTGACCTTTCAATCTCATCCCCCTCACTTTTTTGTACATTTACTTGGAAAGTCTTAAATAACCCCTTTGGGAGCGACCACTTTCCAGTCGTTTTGGAGAGTCAGGTATCTATTCCAAGCCTCATGAAACGCAGTCCACGTTGGAAACTGGAAAAGGCAGACTGGGGTCTTTTTAGCCTAAACTCGGAGCTCAAACCTTGCATGTTCTTGCCATTAACACAGGATGAAGCCACCACATACATTACAGATCAGATCATAAATGCTGCCTTTCGCTCCATCCCTCAGACTTCATGTAACATTGCAAAAAAATGTAAGCCATGGTGGAGTAAAGAATGTTCCGCCACTAAGAAAAAAATAGGATAAGGCTTGGGGTATATTTCGGAGATATCCAACATCTGTGAATTTGTTGGAGTTTCAGAGAAATAGAGCTCAAGCTCGTTCAACCAGAAAACAGGCAAAGAGGAAGTCTTGGAAAGGTTATCTGACCTCTATCAGCAGCTACGTCCCAGCGAAGGAAGCGTGGGAACGACGTCACAAGGTCGAAGGCAAATACCGTTGCTTTACAGTTCCTCTTTTTCCTTCAGTGAATTCGTTGCAGGACCAGGCTAATGTGTTGGGCGAACATTTTGGAGCCATTTCCAACTCCTCCCATTACTCTTCAGCGTTTTTGAAGTTTAAGACAGATGCAGAAAAAACGAAAGTCAGCTTGGCAGGATTAGCATCTGCACCCTACAATCAACCGTTTACGATGGTCGAGCTCCAAATGGCACTTAATGTCCGGAAACACTCGTCTCCTGGTCCTGACCGAATACATTATGAGATGATCCAACACTTGTCGAAGGAATCACTCGCTGCCCTTCTCGTTTACTTCAATGGTCTGTGGAAAGACTCGCATTTCCCTTCCGAATGGAAGCGGGCAGAGGTTATTCCACTACTGAAGCCTGGAAAAGACCCTTCCTTTCCTGCCAGTTACAGGCCGATAGCACTGACGAGTTGCTTGGGGAAAACTTTTGAAAGGTTAGTTAATAAACGGCTTGTTTATTTCCTCGAACAACACAATATTTTGGACATAAATGAGTGCGGCTGTCGACCTGGACGCTCCACGACCGACCATTTAGCCCGGCTGGAGACAGTTGTACGTGAGGCATTTGTGAATAAGCAGCATTGTGTTTCTGTCTCTTTTGAACTTGGAAAAGGCTTATGATACAACTTGGAAACATGGCATCCTGCGTGACCTATTTATGTATGGAGTACGTGGCCGATTGCTTCATTGCATAAAGAACTTCCTGTGTGGACGCACTTTCCGTGTTCGGCTAGGCACTACATTATCTGATTCGTATGTTCAAGAAAACGGTGTTCCTCAGGGCGGAGTCCTGAGTGTAACTCTGTTCGCCGTAAAAATTAATTCTCTCTGTCAGGTCATACCTTCTTCCGTGTCGTACTCCCTGTATGTGGATGATATTCAGATTTCTGTGGCATCTTGTAATATGTCTAGCTGTGAAAGGCAGCTGCAGCTAACCATAAATAAAATGACTAAATAGGCAAATGAAAATGGTTTTAAGTTCTCTTCAGAAAAAACAATCTGTGTCCCCTTTTCTCTGCGGCGTGGGCTTCGGTTAGATCCGATTCTCAATTTAAATGGAAATAGCATGGCAGTAATATCAGAGCATAAGTTCCTAGGAGTTATTTTCGACCGTAAACTTAGCTTTGTACCTCACCTCAAGTGGCTGAAGCAAAAGTGTATGCAGACTATAAATATCCTAAAAGTTCTTTCTCACAAGTCTTGGGGCTCTGATAAAAGGTGTCTGCTTCGTCTCTATTCCTCTCTCGTACGATCACGTCTTGATTATGGCGCAATTGTGTATGCATCTGCTCGACCATCTGCATTGAAGATGCTTGATCCAGTGCACCATCTTGGGTTACGTATAGCAAGTGGTGCTTTTCGAACATCCCCTATCCCAAGCTTGTATGTTGACTCTAATGAAATGTCACTCGAGAAAAGGCGGCAGCTCCTTAGTCTAGTCTATGTTTACAAAGTTTTATCAGATTCAAGTCATCCAGCTCACACTTATATCCGAGAGTCGAGATTTTGTCGTACCTTTGACCACAAGCCAACTGTTGTTCGACACCTGAGTCTTCGTTTTGAGAACCTTCGTCTCTCTCTCGGCCTGCCTCGTGAAAATGTCTACCTCATAGAAAGTGCATGTCAAATTGCCCCATGGGATATCAAACCTATAGCTTGTGATTGGTACTTCACAAAATTTAATAAACATAATGTCTCTCCACTCATTTTACAACAGGAATTTCTTGCACTGCAAGAAAAGTACAAGAATTATCATCAATTTTACACTGACGGAGCCAAGTCCTCAACGTATGTAGGCTCTGCTGTTCATTCTGATTCGTTTACACATGTGACACGGCTAAATAATGTTGCTAGCTGTTTTACTGCCGAGCTATATGGCGTGCTATCAGCACTTGACTATATTATCCAGAGCAAAGTAATAAAAGCAGTTCTTTTTGTGGACTCTCGGAGCGTTGTTACTGCAGCGTGTTCACTTAATTCAACCAAGAACAAGCTGACGCAACTGGTACGTGCTGAAGTTCAACTGGGCCTCGGAGATGGGAAGGATATTAGGTTTTGTTGGATCCCTAGCAATGTGGGCATTGCAGGCAAACGAGGCTGCAGATAGGCTGGCCGCCTCGTCGTGTAACCTCTTACCATCACGCGCATGCATACCATACCAAGACTTAACAAGGCCCATACGACTTTCACTTTTAAAACTGTGGCAGTCTGAGTGGGATTTGGCCGATAAAACCATACTTCATATCATCAAGTCAAGCATCGGTACCTGGGAAAGCTCCTATAACCGGAGCCGTTTCCGTGAGGTTCTTCTTTGCGGGTTGAGGATCGGCCACACCTTCCTTACCCATCGTTACCTACTTGTTGGTAAGGAACCACCAGTGTGCGACCACTGTGGAGACACCTTGTCTGTTCTACATGTTTTCCTTTGCCCTGGTCTTCTGCAACAACACAAGTTCTTTTTTCCTGAGCTTTTCAAGTACTGTATTCCTTTCCATCCTACTCTGTTCCTAGGAGAGCAGCCTCTAATATCAACTGACCGTCTTTTAGCTTTTCTAGAAAATATAGCGATTTTACACAAACTATAGCCGAAATACTTTCTTTGTTTCTAAATAATTTTAGTTTACCTAGTTTGGCGCAGTATGGCCATCGTAGCTCTTGCGCCATAAAGCTCGCAAACAACAACATAAAAAAACTGGAAAGTAACGACAAAAGTAACGTCGTTCCTTTCATCGTTACCTCAGAAAAAGTAATAGAACTACAGTTACAAGTTACATTTTTAAGAAGTAGCTCGTTACAGTTACAAGTTACCAAAAAAAGTAACGAAGTTACAGTAACGCGTTACTATAACGCGTTACTACCCAAGACTGGCTAGAAGGACTGGCTGAGTCCCGTTTTCTTCATGTAGAAGACCACAGATCTCAGCACTCTGTCTTATCTCTTCGTCCTCTTCCGGTGGCCGGTTCCAGGCTCCTAGGTCTCCCGGTCGTTCTTCATCGTTTAGGGAGGCTATAGCTTCTCTCTCCTTTTTGAAATGCTCACACTCCCAAAGAAGGTGTGCGACGTCAGGGCAGGTAGGTTTCTTGCAGTGGTTGCAGCTTGGGGCCTCCGTAACATACTCGGGATCATTTCGCTTTTTCATTTCGTCAGCCCAATTCTTGAGAAAATATGGCGTTACCGCACTACCCGTCATCACCCGTCTCAGCAGCACCGTCTGGTACCTCCTGAGGCATCGGGTGAGGACAAGGTACGGTTCTTGGGGCAGTCTGGTACTCATCTCCTTCTTGAGCTTCGCCTTTGCCTTGGCCGTCAACGCAGTTGGGTTGTACTCGCGGTAGCCGTTACTGATTTCGGCTGCTCGCTGTTTAAGTGGGCCGTTGGCGCTGGAGAGGAGAAAACGCTTGTGCTCTCTCGCAGCTACGTGGGCCGCCTCATTTCCCTCCACGCCCGAGTGCCCCGGGACCCAGCGTATCTGCAAGCGGATTCCGTGGTGCTCGCTTGTGCAGATGGCTGTCTTCATGGTCTGTCCTACCGTCGGGCTCGCGAGACGATATTCTTTGCATGCCCTCAACACTTCTTGGGAGTCGGTGAAAATCATCACCGTTGTCGGCTTTTTCCGGTCCTCGCTGTCTTGTCTCTTCTTGTCTGCTTCTGCATAGGCGAGCTTCACAGCCACGACGACCGCCTGTGCCTCTGCGTCATCCGGGGTCTCGGCTTCCAGGGGAACCGCCCACGTCCCCATGCCTCGCAGGTTGATTCCCGCCGCCGCCGTCGGCAATTCTTCATCCGCCGCAGCATCCACATAGTACACATCGGTCGCCTCGGGTTTTTTTTTTTTTTACCATTTCCTCCATTTCCCTTAGGTGCTTGTCCGCGTACCGCCTCCGTCTTCCCCGCAGGGGGCACCTGTGAAAGCAGGTGTTTGGAGAGTGGCGTCTCCACGGACCCCGAGCTCCGCAGGGGGCACCTGCACCTTAGGTGCTAGGTGCTTGGTGAGTAGCGTCACCACGGACCCCAGCCACGTGGGCCACCATACCCGCACGCAGGGGGCACCTACTTTTGTAGGTGCTTGGTGAGTGGCGTCACTACGAACCCCTAGCCATGCGGGTTCGCCCACCCACGTCTGGCTGTGCGTGGCGTACCCGTGTCCGGGGAAAAGGGGACCCTGGTGGTTGAGCTGAGCCCGGGGTATGTTTGGACCCTTCGGGGCCCCCCGGGCGAGGCAATACACCGCTTCCACCCCTGCTTCTCGTAGACGGGTGTCCTGGCTTGGCCCGACCAGGATGATTCAGTCAGTCGCCTCTTCTACCCTCTTCTTCCTTCTTTCACTTTTCCTTCCACCTCTTTCTCTTTTCTTCTGCACTCTCTTCCTTTCTTTTTCACCTTCTTAGGCGGCAAGGGCTAACCTTGAGTGGAAAGAGGTCCTGTCCCTGCATCCACACTCGGTTATAGTGCCCGGGCAGCACTGGTAGAGTAATTGTGTCAGCCAAGCCTTTCTTGTTATGGTACATTACCTACCCCCTCGTTGGGCTCCGTGGTGGGCGGTGCACCCTGGCACTGAACTTCTCTCCCATCTTTATGGGTTCTAGTCAAAAAACCTCTGATCGGGCCCTGAAAAGGGTCCGCACCGAAGCCATCACTGCAAAGACACCTGACCTTCCTCCAAGATTCTCCAAGTTTCTAGTCATTCATTCTGGAGGCGATAAACAGCTCTCACAGATGTCCCATCCTTAGTTGCAAAAGTACTTGAAGGTGCAATTGGGAAAAACTACAAGGCAAAGAAAATGAGCTCCGGCGATTTACTTGTTGAGGTTGAAACGAATCAGCAAAGTACTGCACTACTAGGTTTAACATCTATTTCCGGTTATGACGTCTCTGTCTCTCCCCACCGAACGTTAAACAGCATTCAAGGAGTTATCTCCGAAGATGACCTTCTTGACAGCCCTGAGAGTGAAATTGTTGAAGGCCTCACTGACCAAGGTGTCACAGCTGCAAGGCGGATCACCATACGTCGTGACGGGAACGAACTCAAGACCAAACATGTTGTACTCTCCTTCCAATCGACCATCCTTCCTGAGGCTGTGAGGGCTGGGTATCTACGCTGCAGGGTTTGACCTTACGTGCCCAACCCCGTAGATGCTTTAAGTGCCAGAGATTTGGCCATGGCTCTCAGAGCTGCCGTGGAAAGGCCACCTGTGCGAAGTGTAGCAAAACCGACCACGAAGCTGATGCATGTTCTAACGACCCACACTGTGTAAACTGCTCAGAACCTCACCCAGCATATTCCAGATCATGCAAGAAATGGAAAGACGAGAAAGAGATCCTCACCTTGAAAGTTAAGGAAAACCTTTCTTTCCCTGAGGCACGCCGTCGCTTCGCATTCGTGCAGAAGGGCGGCTACGCCCAAGTGGTGCAGCGGGGACCTGCACCACTGAAGGTTGCAGTGGCAACCCAGACGTCCTTTCTGGACTATGGGAAGCCACGGCAGTCCCCCACACCCCAGCTGAAGATTCAGCTTCCGGGGCGTGCAATCTCGGCTGGGCGGTCTACGGACCCTCCAAGCCAGAGTGCGAAACCTCGCGCTCCAACAGGGCAACAGCCTGGGTCTTCTCAGACTGTTTCCCAAACCCAGGAGGGGCCGGTGGCTGCCGCAACCGTCCCTCCTCCACGATCTCCTTCCAGGGAGAAGAGTCGACACTCTCGCCCACACTCCCTGGAGAGAGCATCATCGAAGGAGCGGCATAACTCTCGTGCCGCACCTGCAGCGCCTAAGGGACAGGAACGGGTGGACTTGGGCGACGCTTCGCCCAGAGCCTCGTCTGCCCCTTTGGCTGGGTCTGGTCGTGGACGGCGCATGGCGCCCCGTTCCCCAAACCTAAAGAACCCTGCAGGAAAAGCCTCGCCTCAGGAAACTGAGGCCATGGATGAGTGTGAAGTCTCCACTCCTGCGTCTGACCAAGACGATATGGAGTGGCAGACTACTAAGAGTAAAAACAAAAGCAAAAAACCGGTGATCCCGCCAACATGACATTACGAATTAATTTTTGCCACATGCGGCAGCTTTAGAACTTTTATTTATTCTCTCAGTTTTTTTGTTTTTTCTCTTTATTCATATTTTAACTAAATTTTAAAATAATGACCAATTTCCACTTTATGCAGTGGAACTGCCGTGGCTTAACCAGATATATTGATGACGTAAATTATTTTATGGACGAGCTGAGACCCATTGCACTCAGCCTCCAAGAAACACATTTAAATCACACTAATACGCAGATTTTACGTCAGCACCAGGTTTTCAGAAAAGACAGAATTTCCTCAAACTCGTCTGGAGGAGTGGCACTATACTCCGTTTCACCTTCAGTCCGAGCGCAGTGGACGCCACGAGCCATCCCAGCCGATCCAGCGCCGGGAGAAAGTCGCGTGAACTGCCGGTAGGGCGGGGCGACACAGGGAGCTCAAGGTCGCATGACACTCCCTCAACGCCGCATTGGCTGGGATGGCTCCTAGCGTCCGCTGTGCTCGGACGGAAGGTGAAACGGAGTATTGTGGTGCAGAATGGTGTTGCTTGCTTTGAGGTCCCCCTTTCTTCGCCCTTAGAGGCTGTAGCGGTGCGCCTTCTTGTTCACCGTTTGATCACTGTAGTTTCTCTTTATCTGCCACCTTACTCTCCGCTGCATATCAGTGAACTTGAGTCACTTGTAAAACAATTACCTCAACCTTTTTTAATTTTAGGCGATTTTAATGCCCACCACCCTTTGTGGGGTAGTGCTCGCCAGGATTCTCGTGGAGGTGCCGTAGAGCGGTTTTTATTATTATCTGGGTTGTGCCTTTTTAATGGGAGGAAACCTACATTTTTTAGTGCAGCACATCAATCATTTACATCTATTGACCTTTCTATTGCATCACCAATTTTACTTCCATGCTTTTCATGGAAGGTTTTAAATAACCCTTTTGGAAGCGATCATTTTCCTATTGTTTTAGAAAGCACGATGCCAATTCCTTCCGTTCCAACTCGACTTCTAAGGAGGAAACTGGAAAAGGCTGATTGGTCTCTTTTTTGTTTGGAGGCTTTTATTGATTCGTCTGCTCTCGTAAATATGAGCCCTGAAGATGCCACGCTTTACGTTACTGAAGCGATTATAAATGCCGCATCACGCTGTATCCCCCAGACGTCTGGACGACTCCCCAAGAGGTACAAGCCCTGGTGGAACGATGACTGCACCACAACACGCAAGTCGCAAAACAAGGCATGGTGCATCTTCAGGCGTTATCCCACTTCTAGGAATTTACTTGAATTTAAGAAAAGAAGAGCCAAAGCTCGCTGGACGCGAAGGCAAGCGAAAGGCAGGTCTTGGAAAAAGTATGTCACCTCTTTGAGCAGCTTTGTTTCTTCAAAGGAAGTGTGGGATCGTCTCAGGAAGATTAGGGGAGACTATCGGTCTTTCAGGATACCCCTCTTTCCATCAGCAACATCCCTGAGGGAACAAGCAAATATTCTTGGTGAACACTTCCAGGAAATCTCTAATTCTGCCAACCATAGTGAATCCTTTAAGAGGTTTAGATCAGCAGCAGAAAAACAAACTATTTCTTTGTCTGGTGGTCAGGGTGCTCCTTATAACAAGCCATTTACACGGTGTGAGCTTGAGTTGGCTCTCGGCGTCAAAAAGAAATCTGCGACTGGGCCGGATAGGATTCAGTACGAGATGCTAAGAAGACTGTCGCCTGAATCCCTAAGCAGTTTGCTCACTTTTTTTAACTTATTGTAGGATGCTGCTTGTTTTCCGGAATGTTGGAAAATAGCACACTTAATCCCTCTACTGAAACCCAGCAAAGACCCCTCTTTACCGACCAGTTACCGCACAATAGCTCTGACAAGCGACCTGGGCAAAACCTATGAGACTCGTTAATCGCCGTCTTGTACACTTTTTAGAGGCAGAGGGTGTTTTTGATAGAAATCAGTGTGGCTTCCGAGCAGGCCGCTCCACAGTAGACCACCTTGTCCGCCTGGAAACCTCTATTCGGGAAGCATTTGTCCATCGCCAGCACTGTGTCTCTGTCTTTTTTGACCTACAAAAGGCTTACGACACGACTTGGAGATATGGGATCCTTCGAGACTTGTACTCGTATGGTGTCCGAGGTCGCATGCTTCGCTGTATTCAAAGCTTCTTGACGGGTTGGACCTTCCAAGTGCGTTTGGGCTCCATCCTGTCGGTTGTTTTTCTCCAGGAGAATGGCGTCCCTCAGGGTAGAGTATTAAGCGTTACACTTTTTGCCGTGAAGATTAATAGCCTGGGAAAGGTTATACCGCCATCTGTATCCTATTCAATGTATGTGGACGATGTGCAGATATTGCTTTCCTCTTGTAACTTGTCCAGCTGTGAACGGCCACTGCAGCTCACAATCAATAAGATGAGCAAGTGGGCTGATCAAAATGGCTTTAGGTTCTCCCCCGAAAAGACAATCTGTGTTCCCTTTTCACTCCGCCGTGGCCTGTTTCCAGATCCAGTGTTGCACTTGAATGATGTTGCTATATCTGTAAAGGAGGTCCACAAGTTTTTAGGAATAATATTTGATAAAAAACTCACTTTTATACCCCACTTAAAAGAGTTAAAACATAAATGCCTACGTTCTTCAGACATTCTCAAAGTACTGTCGCATACAACGTGGGGGTCTGACAGACGGTGCCTCTTGCGACATTACAACTCCTTGGTACGGTCCCCCTTGGACAATGGCGCGATTGTT